AAACTATACACGTCAGGCACTGAGAGCCCTCAGGCCCTTGAGCCCTGGGGGGAACACTCGACCCCTCACCAGAACTCACCTGGGCAACACAGAGGACATGTCTGCAGCCTATAAGCGACCCCACAGTAGCAGCACACTCCTCCACTACAATGGAGGGAGGGGCATGAAGCCAGAGACCAAAGCTTCCGTCCAGAGGGGCTGAAACCCCAGGAGTGAACTGCTCAGAGCTGGTTTCAGCCATTCCAGCAAAAATAGGATTAACCCTGCAAGGAAACAGAGGGGTGGGGGATGGGCAGCCATCTGCAGGCAGGGAACAAAGAAGCTGGAAACAAACAACAAACCCCAGGGGAGAGGAGAAAGGTAAGCAATGTGTCAGGGAAGGGAAGGGAAAACAATAAGCAACATAAAGCTGCAGGGAGAGGGAGAGAAGACAAAAAACAACCTGAGGGAGGGGGAAGGGCGGGCAGAGTGTTACTGAAGGAAAAAAGGCCTGAGAAACAGTGTGGGTGGAAAGGCAGGAAACAGTCATGAAAAGTGTGGGACTACAGTGGGAAAGGGATCAGACTGTCTTGGAGGGAAAACAAAATAAGAGGAGAAAGGCTCACAACACAGGAAGAAGCTTTCAGAGCTGTGAGCAAACCATCCTGTCAGTGGCAATTTTGAAAGCAAGAAAGAAGGACCACAAGTGTTGGTGTTCCCTACAGGAGGGCTTCTTTGGTAGTGAAGCAAGACTAAGCTATTGTGACCAGTCCTCTGTTGTTCAGCCTTTTCAGTGTTCTTTGGCTAACACACAGAAACTAAAGACTTCTATATTGTTTAGGCAATTATATCCTGAATTTGGGGTTTGATTCTACTTAATCTTCCAGAAGAAAATCCCTCTGTGCTTAAGGCACCCGATTACTTACATCTTAACACAAAACGCAGCTGGTAAAGGTTTGCCTAATAGCTTTATGGTAAGTTCACTTGTCCAGGAAGTCAGAAACCTGATCTAAGCTCTTCTCACACTAACAGGATTCAGATCCACATCTCTCATTTCCTAGAACACTGTGCTAGTCACCAGGCAATGAGGAAAGCTAGGTAGGAGTCCACCCTACAACCACTCCTGTGAAAGTTGCTCCACGAAGCCACTAAAAAGAGCAAGATTTCTGGAACCAGAATGAGAGCAAGTAAGAGAGAGTGACTGTGGGCAAGCAAGATGACTACTTTTCCATGAAGACAGAGTCCCAGGCTTTGGCTTCGGCTGAAAAGAATGGCATGTGTTTCATGGGCTTTCAGTTCTGCTTGCTCTAACCACCTGAGTTGTGGTCCTCCTCCTGGTCAGAATTTGTTGGTCAGTTTTTCTCTATCAGGTGTGATCTAGTTATTTACCTTTCAGACTTGACTACTTCCAGTTCTTTTCTACAGTGGATATGGCTATGGTCAGCTCTGACCTTCCTTTCTTTGATCAGAAACTATTCTGCCTTGCTTGATACCTCTGGTTCATCTGGTATTCTCAGGCACTATGTAAGGTATAGGTATGTTGACATTTTATATATAGTTCTAGGTGGCAGGGTTGGAAGGAGGTGGTTGTATCCCCTTACATTACCTACCTATAAAGAGTAATATGTTTGATATGTATGGAATGTGCTACTCTAATAGAGGTGGTGCAGATAGCAAAACCTGTAGTTAACACTAATCCTTTCCATTATATGGCCCTATTTTATGTTGCTTATAACTTTGCCAAATACATATTTATACATGGTTTCACTACCTATGAAGCAGATTTGTTTTCTTATTGTTGCAAGTGATGTTAAAAAACTTGGCAGTTTATATCTGGAAATCTCAATCAGTCCAATCACCTTTTCTAAGAAGAATAAAGTAGAACCTAAATGCTAGAAAATGAGAAATCCAAGGGACATACTATAATTGGCAGCTTCCCGAAACAGGCATCACCTGCTTCTTTACAGGTCCTGCCACAGCTGTAACCCTAGCCAATTCTTGTCTAACTTGGCTTAGTCACTACCATGACACTCAATAACTTTGAATCACCTCTGGTGGCTGAGATACAGAGAAATACATGTAATGCTAGGTATTAAAGACAGAACTTCTTTTGCTGTGAACAAACCAAATATCACTGATGCACCTGTTTTATGTTCAGAATGGGAAGATAGTCAAAAAGGAAGTGGCCAGCTTTAAAGAGAAACAGTATTTTCAGTTTCTGAAAATAGCCCAGAGATATAACTGTTTAATAAGAATATGTGCCTAATATATGTTTAAGATAAACTTGGTTATTTTTCATCCTTTACATATTTTATTTCATACATATTTTTGTAACATGTTTTAGTATGTATAAATTTTGTTTTCACTATTCTGGGATGTCATTTAATTTCATTTTCTGTTTTTGAACTTAAGAGGTTGCACAGATCAGTTGGAGGGAAGGTGTGTAAGCAAGTATTCAATAAATCCCATGACATCTTATTGGTTTGGCTTTTATGCTTTAAACTTTGATTTTTAGTTCTCCGCGTAATTAAGAACATTAAAAGTCTTTAGTTGTGCACTAAGTCAGCATCCCTTGATGCACTAATTTTGGTAATTCTGAAAATGATTTTCCAACCAAAATATTAATTTCCCTGATACCCAACAGGAATAGCAGCTAAAACTACACTTCAGATGAGGAAATTATAACAGGTCAGGAGTTTGTAGGAACATGACAGACTAGAGAAAAATATCGGTCACTGATAAAAGAAGTCTCCATTGGAACTTAAAAGTGTTCAATATCTTAGGATGTTAGGGACAAGGAAAAAAAGCATTTGGTGTATGACATACCTGTTCCTCTTTGCTGCCAGAATCCAGTTTAGAAGGTATACAAAAGTGTCTTATAATGAAGTGAACAAAGATTTTCCAAACCTACAAGGGTGGTAACCCTGGAGCTATGAAGGAAAAAAAAAAGTATCTGTTAGAAACCACAGAACACTTGTTAGTATTTCAGAGGATTGTAGCAAAGGGGTTTTCATGTTGGTTAGCTGAAAGAGACAAGAGAACTTACTATGAAGTATGGTGTGACATTTTTTTTTTCAGTTTGACCATGAGTCTGTGCAACATAGAATCTCTGCGACCTGGAGCATAGCTAGGAAGAAAAAAGCATAAAATATATGGCTCTTGTAGTTAAAAAAAGGTCATCTGGATCTGAACCTATATAAATAATTACTTAATATAGTGTAAGCTACTACATAACACAAACATGGTATTTTATCTGTTGCTTCAAACCAGCTACACAAAATGTTACATTTGGTACACACATGCACTAAGAGGTAACGTGGTAACTCTACTTACATATACAGCAAAATAGACTAGAGCAGGGGTGGCCAAAATACTGACCTCAGGCCATATCCAGCCCACTAATTGATCCTATCCAGCCCACCAGCTGCCATTGCGAGTCTGACAAGGGAGGGCTCTGCCCCATGCTGCTTCCCTCTGCCGCAGCTGGGGCCGAGCTGGGCTGAGCTACACAGCACACAAACTCCTCTAGCCCCCACATCCATCTCCTCCCTTTCCCCCTGCTTAGCTTCCTTTTGATGCCAGGACTGTGCAGCCACATCACCACAGCTGCCGGCAACTGGGCCTACACAGGATGAGGTGCAATGCAATGCACCAAGTAGCTGTCCTGCCTACCCACTGCAGTGAGCTCCTGCTGCTGCAGCACCACTAGAAGGTGAGTTCATGAGCAGGGGGGTGCTCAGCCTGGGGCAGCCATCTCTGACTTTCCCACTGTGGTATAGCAGCAGCAGCAGCTCATTGCTGTGGACAGGCAAGCAGGATGGCTACTCTGTAGCGCATCAAATCCCATCCCATGTGGGCCTAGCTGCCAGCAACTGCAGTGCCAGGATTGTGCAGCACCAACATGAAGTCAGGCTGGGGAGGGATCTGGGGGGGTTAAGGAGTCTGTGCGCTGTTTCCTCGCCCAGCCTGGCCCTGGCTGTGGCAGAGTGGAGCAGTGTGGGTTGCAGCCCTTCCTCCTCAGGCTCCCGGCAATGGCCAGTGGACTAGACAGGATCAACTGGCATCTCCCTGGCCCCCACCCCCTCAGCCCTCAACAGTTCACCAAAACTCCTTAAGCGGTCCTCCAGCCCAAATAATTGCCCGCCCCGGACTACAGACTGCTGAATTGATGGCTGGTAAATTAAGGCCTTTTAATTTTGCTAAGCAGCCAGATTTCCAAGCCTCTAAACAGAACATAGGAATTATGCAAGGCAATGATTTTGCAAGGAAAAGCACAAACCCACAGGGATAGCAGTTGAATCAGAGTTGCTCATCCGACACACCATTCACCAGATAATGTCAGCACTATGGAACTGGGTGGAGGAAAAGGCTGCATTTGATGCCTCTGTCTGTTGAAACAACAGAATTTTGCTAAGTTGCTAGTTCTGAGAAGCTAACTGAATCAAAATCTGTGTTTCAAACGAGTGTCTGGAAAAGTTATTTTTTCCCTTTGAGTTAAAATCCCATCCAATATGATATGTTAATAAACATTCATTCCACATATGGAGTTAAAAAAGCAAGAGCTGCCTTCAAACATACCCATGGCATCTGGGCATGATGCATATAGAAAATCAAATAAATAGCTTTGGAGAAAATGTTTAATTTAGAGCAGAGATGTGCCTGAGCTCTATAGGTCTGGTGGGTGGGAGGGGTTATATTCACAACTGAAGCATTGGATCAGGTCCACTTCTACCTTGATTGATCAGGTGAAGATTCCACAGTAGCTATAGGGTCAGGGACCAAATCCAGTCCAACCAAATTTTCAGTTGCACAGATAGCCATATTGTGGTGCTGAGAATACCTCATTGGCAGCTGTTTAGCACATGTGAAGCATGCTTGCTGTACCCTTCCATGGATTAAAAGAGACACTTGCAACTTCCAATTTCATAGTGTTTCTGTCTGATATATATGATCTTGTGGCCCTCCAAAGACAGGAGTTCATTTGGGGAACTTAAAAGTTCACAAAAAGATCGAACCACTTGTATAAGTGATTTCCTATTCACTATGAGCAAGGATCACAGAGTCAACCCCTCCAGTAGGTTCTGTAAACTCTGCCATCCCACTTATATCCTTAATTTAGCTGCTTAGTACTGTCTTTGACTTTGCTCAGAAGGTTAGCTCTGCCTTGATAGCTTCTTAAGTTTTTGTATGACATTAATTAATTTGAATGCTATTTCTATATCCAGAAAATTGCAATAGTTCATTAGGAATCAGTTTCTGTGCAAGGATATAACCATGATTGTGACAGTGATTTGGTTAACAGACTCAGGAAGCATAATGCTTACCGTTTTTTGTTAGCAGTATTTGGAGACCCTAGATGTAGTTCCAATTTTAGGCTATTTTTAATCCTTGTTTAGTTCTGAAAACAGAATTGGAAGCTAAGTACACCTGAGTTTGAATCCCAGGTCTGACACCTGACTTCTTTTATAGCCTTAAAGAAATCACACTTAGCCAGAAGGCCACATCTTTACCTGGTGTCTGTCAGTCACTGATGTCAATAGAGCTAGCCTGACCTACATCCGCTGAGGGTCTATCTCTGTCTTACAGAAGTGGCTAGTGATCTTAAGAACCTCCATTTTTAGGTCCTCATCTTTTGACTCATCTTAAACTCTCTACAGTTAAGCTTCCACATTTGTAAAGTGTAGAGCTAGTTGAAAAAAGGACATTTTTCACAATAGTTTCAGTGAAAACTTTCGAGTCTGAGTATTTTCACTGAGCCCTGTTAGAAACATAATACCTACCTAGTTCTAAGGAATTTTATGAAGATTCATTAATGGTTTTTAAATGGAGAGAAACATGGAAGTGCTTAATATTACTCCCCTTCACGACTTCTGTGACCACGTTAATATAAAGAGGTTGTAAGGTTCTGCTGACTCTATTTATCATTTTGGAGTAAGAAGATCTCCTTAGAGCCCAGAGAGACTTCAGAGCATAATATAGTTTACCTAAAGTTGTGGCTAGCACAGCACATTATCAGGATTAGCTGTGTTTTTTTTTAAGCAACCTTTAGACCATAATTATCACACCAGCAATATATTTGCCATTACCTCATGGATTGTTGTGGCATGTTAAATTATTCACTTTCTAGTGCCTGATTTATGACATTTTCTGAAATCCTTCTGAAGATCTAAGAATGGGGTGGACTAGAGAATATTTTGTTTGACAAAATTTACGGTAAAAAAATAATATTTTCTTACATTGTGCTGTGGTAACTATTGTATTGTAATTGATATTCCCACGACAGCACAGAAGAATAATCTCTTAATAAAGATCAATAGCTACTTAATAGCTTTGTCAAGTGCCAGGAAAAATAAATTAGTTGTCTTGGATTGTAACTGATTAGTAGTAGGCAACTGTCCATCCTTCTGGATCATGGTGTATGCGTGAGAGGTCACCAGGACCTTCGACATAGACATGAAGGCAGGAGTATGGAGGAGTGGACCTTCTACCCCACTGTAAACCATTGAGACAGTATCCAAGGACCAGATGTTTCTATTAACGACAATATTGTTTGTCACATGTATACACCAAGTGGGGGCATAGCAGGGCGCCGAAATGAAGAGGCACCAACAGCCTCTGCCCAGCTGGGGCAGGGCCCAGGACGGAGCCATGAGTGGCTCATTTGGGGGGCACGGGGATGGAGGAAGGGCAGCTCCTGCTGCTGCATGCACTCCTGAGCAACCATGAGGGAGCATGTGCTCCCCCGATCTGTGCATGGGGCAAGGGCAGGCTGCCCCTGCGGGCTTTGCCCCAGGCACCAAACTTCATTGCTACAGCACTGCATACACCAGATTCTCCAGTCTTCCTTGGGAGCAGAATCAGAACCTCCAGGTCTGTGGAAAATTGCTGGCATCAAGATGTTACTCTGAGAAAAGCTCCCATGTTAGTGACACCATTTACTGTTCCAATTGGTGGGATCACTACTAAAATTATACCTCAGTGAGGGGATTAAAATGAGCCAGAAGGAAGAGCTGTAAGAGATAAGAAAACTGTCTGTGACAATCTTAGGGAGAGAGTTTACATGAGCAAAATAAAATGTTTCCAAACCTAAGAGCCTTATGAGAATGAAGCTGCTATATGTAAGTCATTTTCATAGTTGTACTGCCGTAAATAGAACTGCAGTCACTGAACCGGAATGATGGGTTTATTTGCTTCTAAAGGTCATCAGTTAGGCTCCTATCACTACCAGCAAAGGGAAGAACCTGATACATTAACTTTTCAGACTTGGGTCTGAATTCATGCCAGTTCCCTATTCATTGTAGTCAGTCCTCATTATAAGAAGTGGTTAACAGCTGTAGTTATCTCTTGCATTATTTGAGGCAGGTGCCTATTCCTGCCTCTGACCTTGACATGCACAGCATGTTGCAGCAGCTTGCAGTAATGCCAGGGCTCATATTTCTAAGCAGAAATCACTGTGGGAGTGGCTAAATTCAAAGAGAATTGAAGGTTTAGGCTGAAAAACAGCTTTCAGAGAGACTAATCATGTAAAATATTACAATGAACAAGGGCAGCAGAAGTAGGTGTTCCCCTGTCAGTCTGCTGCATACAAGACGAGAGCCCATCTCCACTCTCACATGCACTGACTTTAAAAAAAAAAAACACATAAAAACAACATCTCTGCTACAGAGACATCTTTAACAAGTATTCCAGAAAGAGCACCAGCTATCAAAAAGGCTGCCAGGACCAGAAGGAGCCATCAATCGAACAAGTTTACATTTCAAAGTTTTTTCAAGAACAGTGAAAATGTCTTTACCCTCCTTGATGGGAAAACTGCAGTGCTATAGTAAAGTAGCTATTTGCTGCTGCTTAGTGAAGCCTGTTCCTCTGAAGTGGCCCTTTAACCCTTAGAATGGTGCTAGAATATATAGATATATATATTAAGTAGCTCTCTTGAGAGTTCTGCCTAGAGCAGCTTCAAGACAGTGGAGTCAGTCTGCTATCTTTTCCCTTTTGTGTATTCCATTGTTCAGTTCAAGAGCTTCTCTGTAATGTTTGAGATTAACTGGTCGATTTTTTTTTCTAAACCTTCCCTGATAGTATTTAAGAGACAGTAGGATGCATTCGTCTGTCTAATTTAGACATTTATCAAAAAATTCACTCAAGTTCCCTTATGTGACACAGCTTCGTTCTCAATAAAAGAACCTAGTGCAAACAAAAGGCCATACTGTACTTGCTGCGGTAGTGTTGCTGCTCTCAGATATTCCACAATTAAACTACTAAACCTTTCTAGCTTTGTGGAAATTAGAGGCCTGTGTAAAATGGAATGCTTTTTAATAAGCTGAATCTTCAGTTCTGTGCTCTTCATTTCAGCTCCCTGCTTAATTTTTCTGAGTCATTTGAAAATGATTAAGCAGTTCAAATAATTGTTTCCTGGATATATTAGTGGCACTATAATTGTCATGTTTAGAGCTAAAGATGGCGTAGACTGTAGTTTGCTTTGGAATATTCCAAATTCTGAATATATTCTGGCTCACTAATAAACCAACAAGTTTTGAAACTTGTACTACCAATTGCCTTACCACTTTCTTCTTTATTTCCTTAATTGGCCCCCATGTGCCCTCGGTTTTGACACTATTCTTCATTCCCCAACGGCACTGTTTGAACTAAAAATGTAGAGGAGGTTGCTTGAACTAAGAATGGAGAGTGCTAGCCCTTGGCCAAGATCTGACATCCATTAGGATGCACTGGCTGTTGAAATCTCCATTCTTCTGTGTGAAGAGGGTAAATGATAGAACCCCACTGTTTTTGCATACAGAAGAAACAAATGGCGTTTACTGTGGTTATGATATATAATTCATGTGAGTGTAGTCACGGCCTCAGACTGACTTATGGGTATAAATTACACTTGGTATAATTTATTTGGGGGAAAAAAATATGTTATCTGTTACCATGCCAACATTCTTTGTAAATACCATTGGTTCTCAATGAACTTCTTCTGACCTCCTGGTCTGAGGTTGTCACTGTGTGATGTACATAATTCTCTCAACACTGATCCATTACTTCTGCTCAGTGTTGGGGGTCAAGCCTGTAGTGTAAAGTCAAAGATAATTAGCAGCCCTATCAATAACCAGCTGCAGGACTGCAGCCCAAATGACAAGCCAGAAAAATCCAAGGAACGAAGAATAAAAAGTGGAGGATCATGCATGTATATTCTATAGTTTGAGCAGCTGCTGTGGACTATCAACATCATCAGGAGACCTCACTGCATTAGCATAAATTCAAATGACAAATGCACAGTGCTATTCAGAGACTCATTAATTTGCAATGGGTGCAGTGCTCATGACATATTAGTGGAAAATTTAAATGTCTTTGTAGCATCGTGAGTTTAGTTGTGGGACCTAAGTTGCT